TTGCTCAAGATGAAATAGCAACTCAGCAAGTCTTTTTAAAGAGAAAGAGTAATTTATGAACACCTGGAGATAATTTTTATAACTGGCAGGAGAAAAAAACAGATGGTTCCCCTAAGCCCTGTTAAAGGAGCATATGTATTACTAGAGATAGCTGAGAAACTTGAATCCCAGCTAAATTTCACAGTCCACATGGAGAATGGATGAAGATCAGAAACAAAGTCAGGGACAACATAGTTGGGGATGTTGGGTTGGCCTGACCTTTTATTGGAGAAAAATACAGTCCTTTTGAGAGACCTTTGGCTTAAGTCACTCTCTGGATACTGCTTAGAGAGCAACCTAGAGGCATGAACAGACAAAATGTCAAAAAAATTAAAAATATGTGCTTAGAAGTATTAAAAAACAGTCATTCATTTTTCAGTGCAGGCAGTTGGAAGAAAAATAATTGAATGCAGATATATTAAAGGTAAAAGGGGATATAAAGATGACTCAAACATTAATGCGAAGTCCTGACCACAGTGAGTCTTTGCTACCTGGCTTTCCCTTCAATTCAAATTTTGCCAAGTCCTTACTTCTTCTGATTCACAGTGCACTGAAATTCTGTCTAGACTCTTGATCAAAAAATTTAAACAATTTATACATGAAAACCAAAGCAATTGCTTAGCATTACCATCAAACCTATAGCTAATTACCCACAGAACTTATTCCAATTCCCCCTTAGCAGGAAGTATGGGAAAGAGGTGAGTCTTGCTGTGCATCTCAAGCTCTATCTGAAGTGCATGTGTGGACTACAGAAAAGCAACGCAAGAGATCCTCCAGCCTCCTATGTGCCAAACAGGATCCATTTGAAGCAATAGCTAGAGAAAGGTGGAGAATCCCAAAGATCATCACCTTAAGTGTCACTGGTTATTTTTTCCACATGTAGACTAGAAAGGAGCACCACTTCCTTGGTGATTTATGTTGTAGAAGAGTGCTGTAGGCAGTTATGGTGAAGATGTAGAGAATGCACTTCCAATTGAGCTGCGCTAGATAGTTGGGGCTGCATCCCTCCTTAGTCCTCCCTCCTACATATCTGCCCTTGTTTCTTACAGGCACTTTATAGGAGTGCTGCTCTTCAGTATGATTGACCTTCACAGACCAAAGTAGCATTTGTAGTCAGTGATCAATGATCACAGCAAGATCTACATCAGAAAGTTACAGTCTCACAGCTGGAAAAGAGATGAAAAAGACTCCCCTAAAAAAAAAAAAAAATGCTGCTATGTCATCATCCTGTAACAGACAGAACGGATGTTGTAATGTCACCAAGCAGCACACTCCAGCAATAAATGCCCCTGCACAGCTCCAATAAAAGCAGCAGAGATCACTCTCTCTCTTCTGATGGAGCTGTTCCATTTTTAATAAATATTTAAATATTCATTTGACAAGTGGAAAAGACTGACAGTATCTTAGTACTGATGACATTCACTAGGGATCTCTCAGACCCAGATTCAAACTGTCTCACAGAATAATACAGAGCATATCTCTAGGGTTTGTGTCAGGACTTTTTTCCTCTTTTCCAGGACACACTGATGGTCAAGAACGGAGAGAAAGGGGGAGATTTGCCCTGGAACAGTGTGTGGTGCAGCTATAGGGCATTCACTTGGGTTCTGAAGGAGATGCTCTTAACTTAAGTGAATACCTTAACAGTCCTAGTGACTATTGTGGTATAATTCCCTCACAGTTTCTAATTTCTTCATCCCCATGTAAGGGAAAAAAAAAAGTCTCTCTCGCACAAAAGAACATCATCCTTCCTGTCAAAATCCAATTCTCTGAAACATTTAAGGGGCCAGATTTTTCTGATGGAAAATGTACCCCATGGAAACTTCCCAGCCACCTCTGTTTAAAACAGCGCTGTCTGTAACTGCTCACAATTCAACTCAACCAAGTAAGAGAGTTCATACCCTCATGATTGCAGACAGCATTTCAGAGTGCCTCAGACAAGGGAAGGCAACACTCTTTCTTATTTAAGTGAAGATCAATGTTACTGAACATCTTCATCGGAACTGTGTTGGTAGTTCAGCTGAGACAGCCATTTTTCCAAAAGGATATTCTGACCTCTGTATCAACATTAGATGCAATGGGAAGTTTTCTATTGACTAATAGATCCCATGTTAATTGACTTTCCTGGTTAATTCTTCTGCTCTACTTCAGGAAGGAAAAAGGAAAAGCTGGTTGGTTTCCTGTGCTTCCAAAGTTACACTAGCTAAGCTAATTGCACAACATTACAGGCAAGTGCAAGGTTTATATCAGTTTGACTTGCCCCTTGCAAACGTAAACTGGTTTCCAATTTTAAAGTTAACTCAATTTAAATCCACATCTGCACACTAGTTTAATCTAAATGAATGTACTTTTCTGTTTAGGGGGAGGAATTGGAATTCAGTGGATAAGCAGACAGGATCAGTCCAAAAAGGAAAAAGGGATGAAAATTAAAAAGTAGAAAAACTAGCTGGCATACAAAAGAACAGATGACAAGAAAACATAAAGGAAAACAACTGGAAAACAGATCTTCTGAGTGAAACACTGCCTGCCACTTACAGAGAGGGACATATGGCCATAGGGAAGGCCAATTACAGAATAAAGAAGCCTAGAAACAAACAAATAATTTAAGTTATTGAAAGAAAAATGGAAAATAAATCCCAAGTTTTGTCAGGTAATGAAAAACATGAAAAAATTTTCCTGGAGACTGCTCCTGTTGGTAGTTTCAATTGTTTAAAGTCCAATTTCAGGAAGGATGCAAACAATATTTGAGTTAGCTAGATGCTTGCGAAATTCTAGCAAGTTGGTTTTCTCAGTATTTTTTTGCTTTGCACAGGTGCTGGATCCTAGACATCACACAAAAATAAAACTCATAGTAAATAATTGTTGAGTTTTTAGTCCTTAAAAATCTGTGGGCTTCCTGGCTATATATCACTTACACAGGCTCAACAGAGGTCAAGAAATCCTTGCTAAAGTTACGCAACAAAGATTTTTCCTAAAAGCTCAAATAAGCTCTGTTGTTTTATAAAAGTGACAATGATGAAGGGAAGCTGGATTTTTAAAGAAGAAACAACGTTTTCTCATATTGCAAACTGGATTCTAAGTACAGTATCTCTGTATTTTTTTTTAAAGCATAGTTTTCTTTCAGGAAGGTAGAAGAACAGTGAGCGCAACAAAGAATTAGTTACGAGGTCACTCATGATGTAAAATACTCAATAGTTCTTTCTTTAAGGCATGCCTGACAAAATATCAGCAGCATTAACCGGAGACTATGCTTCAGACACACCACCCTAGTTTCTTAGGGATGTGTTAAGACCCCATCCAGCGTTCACAGAAAGAGAGGAAAGCAGATGAAGCTTCATCTGAGCATGGAAGTCAAGCTAATGAACTAGAGATTTTTGGCAATCCACCATAAAAGGGAGCCTGTTTCCTTGCACGGGGATCTCTCATAACTGCCTTCTACTCCCAGCTCACTCTCTGAATGGCCTGGGAGTTGAAACTCCATGGAACAGTGAGTTGTGTATTCAGGTTACATATGCACCCATTCGTTTCCTTGCCAATATCTTGTCTGTTTCATATGGTATTACCTTCAGCCTTGCCCTTCCATCTCCAGAACACGTGTATACTCAATGAATATACAGATGTTATAATTAAGAAATATACAGGAAGTTAGGCTAAACAGGTTATCACACTAAAGAAGAATGGATAGATGGATGGAAAGCTTACCCTTGTACTGGGCTTGCTGAGAAGACTCCAAGAGGAGCAATCTCCAAAAGAGATCCTTCCCCAGTGGTAGTCAGCTCTTAAATGGGGTCTAGGAGAGGTAGAGCTAGGCTTCACCCCTTCCGGTAGCTCAGGAGAATTGTCTTCACCTGTGCTCCCAGGGCTGACTCATTGCTTGCCTCAGGTGGTCAATCAGAGGTTCAGGCTGTGATTCAGCAGTTCCCATACAAACATGCAAAAATAGTTCTTATGCAAATAAAATCAAAACCAGGGCATGCCACTCCAAGAAACCTACGGATCCCAAAGAGATGGAAATTAACTGAATTTAATTCAATTGGAAATTCAGAAATGTGGACTTCACTGGTTCTTTATTATTTTGATATTTATTTTAAATTATGAGAAAAAAAGCCTAAGTTCACGTCTAGCCTTTTGTGCTTTTTTAAAGATGAAAATGGGATAAGATAATAAAAAGTGTAAACATTGATACTGCTGCTCACAGGGAGATGTTGGAAGCAACAGTTGTCTCTCTCCCTGTGCTGCAGTTTGGCTGTTTTCAATTTGTAGCAAGAGGAATAACAAGCTTAACAGATGTGAATGCAAACCCATATTCACCATTAGTGGAACTTTTCGCACAAACACTGGGTTTGGGAACACAGACAAGTTTACACTGCTGATGATTAGGAGACTTCCTCATAATTCTGACTATTAAATAGAGCAAAGGAGTAGTATGAAGGGTGCTTTTGGATGACAATCAAGTGGACTGTAACAAAACACTACCTTACAAACTAATGTTCAAACTTCAGCTTTCACACACAAACCCTAGTGGCCTCAGACAATTACACATGATTCACAACCACTCAAACACAGATTTCTGGTTCCCTTTCCTAAAAGGCAGCACTTGCACCTTGGTTTGGAGAGCAATGCAGAGCAACTGTTCATGGGGGCTTGAGTCCCCTCCTACATGCAGGGAGAGATGGAAGAAGATGAATTTGGAAATTAGTTACTCTCCCACTGCCAGACCTGTCCTAGAGGTAGAAGGAGTTGTATACAGGACTGCCTTTAGAGCAGTGCAGAAAATGAGAAGCAACACATCAACATCCATCCAAAATTTAGATATAAAGGATAATTTCTACCTTTTCTGCTACATGTGAGATGAAGAAACATTACATACCTTACTATTCAGAAAAACATGGTCAACCAAGATAGGATGGCAAAGAGAGGGACATATAATACAGAGAGATGTGTACCTTCAGTCAAGCACTTACTTTGGATTTCCAGCCCCTGGTTTCTTTCTCCGGAATATGTTGAGGAAAGTGTTGGACTTGCAAGGTGCCTTGCCATCCCCGACATGCATACGCACCACGTCTGAGGTGGTGAAGGCACTGCGGACGTTCCTCTCAGGCTTGGCTATGATGATGTACATCTTAGGAGTGAACATGCACCCCAGGGCCACTGTCACACTCAGGCTCACTGCAAAACAAGTGGTGATGATCTTGTAGTTGCTCCCAAAATAGATAGGCACAAAGGCCAGCCAGATGATACAAGTGGTATACATGGTGAATGCAATGTACTTGGCCTCATTGAAATTGGCAGGCACATTGCGAGTCTTGAAGGCATAGTAAGTGCAGCTCATGATGAGTAGTCCATTGTAGCCCACGGGAGCCACGACACCCAAATTGCTGGTGTTGCAGATAAGGTAAACTTCCTTAATGCTGGGATAGGAGAGGATGGGCATCGGGGGCTCCAGGATGATCAGCGTGACCACCAGTGTCAACTGCACACTGATCAAAATGGAGGCAATGACCACTTGGGCCCATGCACTCATGAAGCGTGGCTTGCGGGTACAAATCTTCTTTTTGCTGCCTGCCAGAATGCGTGCAATGCGGTTGGTTTTGGTCACAAGGGCAGAATAGCACATGGCAGAAGAGAGACCCACCAGAAGGCGCTGGAGGTAGCAGGATATCGTGGTGGGTTTAGCGATAAGGGTGAAAGGGCAAACATAACCCAGAAAGATGCCAGCAAGGATTATGTAGCAGAGCTCCCGGCTGGAGGATTTGACAACAGGAGTGTCCCTGTAGAGCACAAAGATAAGGGTGACAAACATGGTGACCAGGATCCCCAGGCAGGAAAAGACCACAGCCACAATAGATTCTATATTGCTCCACTGAAGGTATTTTACAGGAATGGGTTCACAGCCTGCAGTGTACAGAAAAGAAACAGAGTGTTAGAAAGTTATCTGCTTGAAGAGAGAACTTTTATTTCTGGCTTCCAGTACAATCCAAACATTAGTTTTTGCCTATATGTCATGGATTATTAAGACCACTTTACAAATGAGTGAACCAAAACATAGGAAAGATTAGATGAAGTATTTTCAAAAAATATCCATCAGTTCTGAGTGAGTCAAACATTGGCGACAAAGAGAAACGAGATTTGCAAAATTCCTTCTAATATTCACTGAAAGACGTGCTGACAAGCCCAGCATACCAAATGCAGGGCTGGGAACAAATCACAGACAAACAGCACCAAAACTTCATTTCAACAGGGACAAGATTATTGCAAATCAGAATGGCAGCATTTAACCTCCCCAAGTTAATTTAATTTTTATCAAAATAAGAATAAAAACACAGCACATTTTTCTGAAGGTGATTTTATAAGAAAAAAAAGTATTTTTTTTAACTCTGCCTCATTGCTGGATCTTAGTAAGGTCTTGATTTTGTTAAGAGAAAAACCACACTCAGCCCTTCCCTCATCAGTATGGTGCATATCTGCAGAAATCGTCCTGTATGAAAGCTTCTGACACCCAGAATTCTTCTCAATCTAGGTACATCTTCCACATGATGACAAAGAAAAATATTATCAATAATACTCATAAGAAAATGTAAAGTTGTCCCTTTTAAATACAGAATAAGTTGAGGTATAGATCAGGGCTGAGCAAACAAAATTTTGTTGTGATATCACTGTCAGAAAGAAAAGAAAACGATTTAGTTGAAATTATAAAAAAGATAAAAAAAGAGTAAGAGAGTCAGCCTGAGGCAAAGTCCTGACACGGAAAATTTCTGCACAGACTTTTAATGTCTTCCAATGTCATTTGAAAGGAAAGAATGCCTTATCATTCTGAACTCCTTGTGTCTAAAAGTACTGGTCTGACTCAAATACGGGCTATGCATCGCCTGTAAAATCAAGAACAACAGGAATAATGATACATGCATCTCGAAGTCATATTTTATAAGGAAACGGAATTTTGCCCAGGATTCAGGCAGGTGGGGAGAATCTGTTCTTCCAACCAGTATTTTTGTGGTGAAATCACAGAAAAATTTTACTAGAGTTAGGAGCCTCTGCCCACTGGCTGCAGCTGCCCACAGTGGGAACTGGCTCTTAGTTTGATATAAAAGTGAACTAACTGTTCTTTGATTAACACATGCAGAGCTCTTTCCTTTAACAAGAAGCAAGTCTGTGGTTGCTGGAAGGCTTACATTTCAATGTGTGCTTAGCAATGGAAGCCATACTCATTCAGTCTTAAACAACACGTTCAGAGCCATAGCCCTGATTCAGCATGTGGCTAAGTATATTGATTGCTTTAAGCTTACCCAGTGCAAGGTTTTAGAAACTTGTTTTGTTGCATCAGTGCAATTCCTGTGCACCGGCAAGCCCCAAGAGCCACATATGCTACAAACATTGCAGAAAAAAAGTGCCTTCACTGCTTATATCAGCAAACGGTTGTTGGTTGTCAGCATCTGTGAAGGTGGATCATTTGCCAGTTAGGAGACAGTGGACTCAGGAAGCGTTTTGAGACAGGGGGAGGATACTCAGGAAATAGTATGCTTACACATTGTATGTATTAAAAAAATAATGAAAATTTTAAAAACTAGGTGATCAGTAGCAAAAGCTTCACTGTTAAAAGTTTCTAGTAAAAAGCTGTTTGGTAGTTTTCATCTATTATTGTCCCTGCAGTTTAACCATGAATCATTTCCCTGAGTAGAAAGCTAATCAATTTTCACTTTTTTTTTTTTTTAAACTTTTTAAAATTATATTCATACTACAAAACCAATACAACTCTCCAATATATTTTCTGAGGTCATTAAAGCATCCCAGATAATTCATTTCATAATAGTTCTATAAAACTTCCTCTCCTATCTTGTATTATTGCTTGTTTAAAGTGAAGAAAACTGGGTTTACTAGCTTGATGTTCACTGTTCTTATACAGCTTATGATTTGTAAAGGACGACCCTTCTTGGCACAAGACCTTGAGGTACTGTTGTCAGTGACTATTTGTCAGGTTAGGTTAAATATACAGTTTATGTTATTTATGGCGAGAAGTTCATTAGGTCTGCTAACTCCACTTCAGCGACCACTTTTTTAGGGGAAGTAAACTAGAAAACATATCTTATATTTAAAAATAAAATTTAATATCAGGAAAGGAATGCTGAGCTGCGTAGATTGGTTTCAAATGGAAAGAATGAGCACCTTGAAAAGCATGTCTTGGGAAATAGGTTAGTATGCAATTCATGTTTCCTAAAAGGTTTAGTAATTTCAAAGACTATCTGTAATGGAAAATTGTGAATAAAACTGCATACATGTTTAGCATTTATGATTTAAGGCAAAGGGAAATACTGTCTGGAATGTGAGATGTTAATGTCTGTGTCTAGAATCTACAGTGACTGGAAGGGTGTGAATACAACATGGAAAAAAAAAAAAAAACAACCATATTTGATGGGAAAAAAAAAAGCTAGAAAGAAAAAGGAATTTCAAATTGAAAGGTTCCAGTGGAGATTCCAGCAAAGCCCAAAAGCCAGACTTTGTCTACCTGAATTTCCCTTTGCTAAAGGGTGGCATACTAGTAGTTTCTCTTCATAACTTTGTAACTCCTACTGCAAATCAAGTAGATGATGTAGGGGTTAAAAAAGAATCTTTCCCCTCAATTAGGCAGAGTGAAGAAGCTGTACAGAAACAGTCTGCCATTTTGAGGTTCTCTAGGAAATCAGATGATGGCTGTGCCATCATTTGACTGATGCTACTGCAATTTTAGGACAGCAGCAGCCCAGACTCCTTGCTGAGAAGAAACACAAATCAGCAGGTTACTTACTGATTTCATTAAAACTTAATAGATTGCAACATGCCCCTGAGATTTTTTCCAGTACTCATGTTTTCTTCAACTCCTTTCAGCAGTGCCTGTCATTTTGACATGCCTCTTTTTGAGCTATTTTGGGCAACCATATTCATTCAAGTGCATATTGATCTCTCACCATGTTCTTGTTCTGCCTTATTGATTAAAAAGAAGCTCCAGTTTTCTTCCCTGAATAGTAGATATAAACAATTCTGCACACCTTCAATACTAAAAGAGCATGGTTCTGATTTAACACTAGCAGACATGGGTGTCCTAGGCAGTGGCATTGAATTTGATCTTTTACAGCAATCAAGACATATAAATCTATATGCTGTAGATTTTCTAGGGGTTAGAAAAACAAGAATTTTGTCCGCAACTATGATCCTTATAGAAGGTATTTTTTAAAGACTCCTCTTCCTACAGTCCATTTACATGAAACTTGAAAGAACAGAATGATCACTGAGATCTCTGTATCCTGACAAGACTTGCTGAAAGAGGTTCAATTGCATATCACAGTAAGAGAGGGAAAGGGACTATTTGAGTCAGAGTTACGGGATATAGAAACACACACATCTGGGACACAACCATAGCTTGTTTTCCATTTAAACAAACTAATACCCAAACCAACAAATACACAAACAAACAAAAACAAAAGAAAACAAAAAGGAAACCTAACAAAATAGGCAATGGCTCAATTTTTCCAGTTTTTTGTTAGTTTGTTTGTTTGTTTTGTGATTTATAATACATTTTTAGCTGGAGAAGTGGCCAGTTTTCCCTTCCAGAAGAAATCTCCTGAAAGTTCATTTGGCTTCAGTGAATTTGCTTAATATCACTTTACCTATCTGTAGTGCAGCAGCAACATTTAGTTGCCACCCAGTTATACTAAAGGACAGTGATGCAGTAAGTTGCACAGCTGCTATTCAGCTACACCGTCAGATAGTTTCTTTGACTATGATGTCCTGGCAGTGAAAATCTGCAGATGCAACATGGGGCAAGGTCTTTACAAAGCAGCTTCCAAGGTTAAGGTGGTGCTTCTTAGTGCATTACATCTGTTTCCTTGAGGTAATGGTTACTGCAAAGCTCAGAGCAGGTATGGGCAGTTCCCCCTAATGGGTACAAAATAAGAGAAAGATGCCATAGCATATGACTCATTTAAAGCATATACACAGGGAAGACAAGTTCTTGCTCTTCCTTTCCAAATTTTCCCTTTCTTTTGTCTGTCTTCCTTAGGATTATGTTGATTTTCCCTGTGGTGGTGGGTGCAGAGAGAATGATGTTTATACCAGAGGAAATTCTGATAGTTATTGAAAGCTCAGAAATTCCAAATGAAGTATTACTAATTGCATGATAGAATGAGCAGAAAGCGTATCAAGTCAATCTGACAGTGATGCTCTGAGCTCTTGTGATTATCACTGCTAAAATTGCAGCAAATTCTGCTACGTTCATTAGTATTTTTAGCAGCTTTATTAATACTTATGTTAACTGAAAGGGAGGAACAGACAGAGTACATCGTTTTATCTTGGTACAATTTTCACTATCTTTATTGTCACCGCTGTTGTACTGAGCCAAAAGATACAGCACATTTCAATCTGATGTGCCCTAGGATGTGTGTTTAAGTTTTTTCCTTTAACATCTTTGCATGTTAACACCTTACTCTTCAACACACACCATTCTTACTGTACCCTGTCAAAAGGGAACGCATTTTGAGGGACACCTCCCTACCTGTCAGTTCAGCATTCGGCCACCAGCCAAGTTCACAGGCTTTACAAGTGAATTCATCCTGAACAAATTCATTCTCTTTGCAAGCAGTGCAAATCCAGCAGCAGCTCACTTCTCCTTTCCTGATCACCTGAAAAGCAAAACATACCCTCAGCAACTATCCTGTGTAAGACAACACAGAACTTCCTACAGTAAATACGTACTGCCTGCATTGTTTAAAATATGATAGGATTTCTGTGTGTGGGACATTGCAAACAATGAGAAAATATTTGTCCTTATTCTGTATCTGCCTCTCTGTGCTAGAACTTGTGTTCAAGGATAATATCTTAGGACAATTTCATTTTGTTCTGTGCTGGTATTTGGTATTGTGGTGTTTTCTTCCCCGAGTTTAAAGTACAAAACCATTTTTTGTTTTGGTACAGTGGCACAGTGTTACATTTCCAATCAAACTTGAGAGAAGGTTTAATCTGGGAGATGGTTCAGGTCAGGACAAGCCATTCAGTGAATACTTAATATCTTCTGCATAGTAAAAAGCAGCAAACAATGTCAAAGGTTAGAACAAAGAGTGATTCATGCATTTACATATATATTATTATTATATATATGCATAGATAGAAGCACAGGCACTCAGATTCTTATTTACAATGAAGTCTCTTTGGGGCTCACCACATCAGTGTATATAGAAATTAAAATATGAACAAATTAAAAAATTAAACTAAAAAAGGATGTATTTTGTTCTAGTAGAAAATAAAACCAGTATGTGGTGATCAAGAACACGGTTCAGAACAGCTCTTTTAGAGAAATATGCCCCTGAAAGCTGTATCTTTCTCTCGTGTGAATGCTGCTAAGTGCAGTGATCCAATGTTGAAAATTGCTTCCTCATCTTGGCTGCTAGTTTCACTATGTGGGGGATGCAAGCAAGGTTAAGGATATCTTGAGCTCCACCAAAGACTCTGCCTGTGTCAGAAAGGAGGAATTCAGCCTTCTCTCCAGGATCTTTTTATCCATCAATATGCAGAGTTAAGTTAAATAAAAGATTTTGCTTTATTAAATAATGAAACGTTGGCTTTGTAGGCTTCTGTGAGTGTGTGTGTGTGTTAACATTTCCTCCTGCTTTCTATGGAAATTTTCCAATAGATTTCAATGGGAGCTGAAGCTGGCATTTTGTATACATGTTGTTTACATATATACACATACACAAACTGCACAATCTCAAAAACAGAGAAAAGATGTTTTGGAGGGCAGTAAATACTAATACTGCTTCCCCTCCAGGTTTGATGGAGTATTTCACTAAGCCTTTGCCAAATAATCAATCATCAATTGCTAGTAGTAGCAATATACAATTTAAAAGCTGCAAATATTCCTACTGTATGAAATTAAAAAGAAAAAGCATTTCTAAGGTGGTATTCCTGAATGGGCTTTTTGCTGTTTTAAACTTACAACATCCATAATATTTTGATAGTGGTAGAACATGTCTTTATCAGAACATGTCATCCACACATGGCAGGTGGCAAAATATTTGTAGCATGATTCAAATGCTACTGTTTGTGATTTCATTTTTGTTTCCATACCTTCTGTTATGAACATGAGATATAAACAGGACTTTTCTTTTCTTTTTTTTGTTTTCCTTTTTCTTGTAGATGTTATTGTTGAAACAAAATACTGGATTCACATGGGTTACATTATTTTAAGGATTTGTCCCCAAGTGAATCCCAGCCACTGACCATTGTAGACAATGACTAAATGAAAATTTTGTTCTTTCTCATATAAGGTGAAATTTAATTCAGTTTTGTCATTCTGGAAGATTCTGTGTCATTATCAAAGGCAGTTTTAGAAAGCATGGGCCTTTGTATGGGACAATAAGAACAAAAAGTTGATCTAAGAATTCTTCTGTCCTTTTGGCTTTCTTATAGAAAAGAAAGTTCTAAGTAACACGTCCTTTGTCTTGAAAGATGATTGCTTGAGTTTAGTGAAGGAGCACTGCCAGGTAACAGATTTTTATGGAGAAAGTGTCTAACGCACACCTTAATCTGCCCCTTCAAACAAGGCTCGCTGCACACTGAACGGACCATTCCACTCTTGTTCATCTGAATCCTGTAGTCATCAATGTTGAGGACACCCTCGTGCCAAGTTCCAATGAGGACATAGTCATAGCGATTGGGCTCTATGTACTGCAGGTTCATAATGTCATACCTTCAAAGGAAAAAATAGAAAGAGAGTCACTGTCCTGCAATATGAAGGATAAAATTTTACTGTGGACTAGAGTTTCTCAGAAACACCAAACACTTCAGGATTTGCAATAGAATCACAGTAAATAACATCTCTTATTGCTAAGTTATTATTGAGTGCCTGTCCCGTTTACAGAAAACTGTGGGTAAAAAAACCTGTGTGTCCAGAAAGAACTGTACAACAAAGACAGCAAACTCTGCTAAAAATTCACATGTAAGCAATCTTTGGATGGTGCATTATTCAGCCATTTTTCAAAATCATTAACATTCACTTGTTGGCTACATACAGGCTGTCTGCAGTATAGCTCTTGCTGTGAACCCTGAAGTAGTCCTCCCTGAAGTTAGAGTAAAAATACTCTAACTAAACTGGTAAGTCATAAGCTAACTGTAGGCACTACTTGCATTACCCAGCTCAGTGAGATTGATGCAAAAAGTTAGCAATCCAGCCACAGTATTAACTTCCTTCCAGTAGTCAAGTAGGACAGAACTTCCAAAGGCTAATATAAAGGAAACATAAAACACTGCTACAGAAAGCATTCTGCTTCCCTACCTCCATCATTGCCCTCCATTTGTAAAGCCTAATATGTATGCACAGCCATTACTGCTAAGTGTTCAGTTCCTTCTTTTACTAACAGAATGCGGTTTGTGCAAAGCAGTGATTATTTGTGGTAATTTCATAGTAGGAAATAAGCAAGAATGTGAGAATGAGTAGTGGAGAGAGCACCGGGAGGAAGAACCACAAAAGAAGATGAAAAAATCAGCTGGCCTCTTAAGAGGAGAGTTATGTGGGAGGTATGAACAGGAGAGGTAAAAGAGGGCTGCAAACCAGAATTCAGCTCCGGAGCTGAAAATCACAAAGCATTTTCTGCTTTACAGCTCTGGAATTCACTGCCTTGTTTTTCCTTACTGGATTGTCTCAGGACAGAAGATGCTTTAGTTTACAGTAAGTGTTGCCTATCTGTATTCACATTAAGAATAAATGGTAAACAAAGTATGAGCTGTAAATAAAGCTGGAATGTTTGGTTCAGGGCAAACAGGGAGAAATATCCAATAATTTCTCTTTTCCCTGTTGAAGTTCAAATATGCAAAAATCACAACTCAGTAGTTCTCAGAGAAAAGGTACTAGAATTACTCTCTGGATGCTCAGTTTTGTTAACTGAATCTATGAGATCTCTCTAGTGAGAGAGAATTTTAAAAAATGTCTACTTAAAACTGTATTTAGATCTCAGTCTTGCAAATGTGCACGCTTAGACAACGTCGGTGCCACTGCACAGATTCACTGGTCACACTGGAAAAGGAACTCTCACTACTGATTTCAATAGAGCTCCAAACAGGTACAAAAAACAGCTCTGTAGCTGTGTGGTTGGCAACTGGCTCTTAACTGAGGAGTTGCTAAGAGGAGGAGTAAATCTCAAAGTCACTAGAAAACAATTCTTATTTCCCATCTTTTACAAAGGAATAACATAAAAAGGCATGCTTTTTTCAGCATAGCAAGAAGCAGTAACAGCAGGGTGCTTTATAATGTAGATTCAGTAAACAGGAGTAATTGAGCAGGAATGTACATGGCTCTTTCTAGCAAGCACAACCTACTTGGTTTTTAGTGTGACCTTGAATTAGACCAATACAAAATAACTTACTATGCACTGGAAAATGAATACAGGAAGGAAAATAAAAGATTACTAAAACTTCACACTCCCTTAATGAAATTTTCAAGCCTACACAGCTTGTTTTCTTTTCTACCAAAATATATTATGAAGCACAGAGTAGCATTACAGTAATATCAGTCAAGAGCTGGAAAATTCAAGGATATGATTTTATTTTAGATTGAAAGCCTATATGTCTTATATTTTCTGATAACACCGTTCCCTTTTCTATCAGTAATATGTCAAAGAATAAAATATGAAGACTACAAGATCTTAGCAGTCTTGCATTTAACATGTTGTAGTACAGTGCTTGAAGCTTTGATATGTAACTTGAATTTTAAGTGGAAGAATGTGATCTAACAAATACATTTGCTTTGGAGACATGCATAAGTTCTTTACCCTTTCTTTCTTTTCTTTAATGAAAAAATCCTGCTTTGAGTAAGGACAAATTCAGTGTTTCAATACCTCCTTCTATCACCATCTCCCCGCATAGACATACACCACTTCAAGAGTTCGGACCTATGTCCAAGCTAAAAGTGATTATCTTGAAATAACTGGATTTGACAAGAGTTCTGAAGCTCTAAGAAAGTGAGGATCATGGAGGCAGCTGGATGTCACACACGTATGGCAGCATTTACAGAAGGTATAAGATCTTTCTACACATAAGAAAATGAACGATTTTTTAATGTAAGAGCAACCTCTCACATATATTGGGAAATACCATGACCAATGAGTTGGGATCATGTAAACAAGTTATTTTTGAGGTAAACAAGACTGTAAGCTGGTCACAGGCACATTCATACTCTGAAAAAAACTCTGGTTAGCCTGAGATAGCTGAAGTTACTTGCTCAACAGCCATAACACTTGTGTTGACAGTAAGTTTGGTATCCTTGAGGGCAGAATGGCAAACAGCAAAGCTGAACAGTGCTAGGATGTAACTGGCCTAAATAGCCACCCATGGACCAAAGTCTGTGCAAAAATAAACTGTATGTGCCCCACATTCCTTTATATACTGCATATATTTTAAATGCTTGTACTATGCATTGATAATTTACTCAAAACTTTGGAGCTAGTCAATGGAATAACTATGTTTGAAGCCGAAACAGCTTCTGGAGATAGTTAAATGAGTCTACAACTAAGTTGAGTTAGGGCAAAATGAACAGCATTGTTTCTCTTAGTTTGAAAATGCATGAAAGGCCCGGTGTTAGGACTGGAGACAACTCCTGTCAAATGTCCCATGGTTTTACGGTCAGAGGTCTATGCAAATTGTCCCTGAGAAGTAAGTTTCTTCATAGTAGTCATTAGGTTACTATGTCTAGTAGACATACTGGAACAGACAAGACCTCAGTATGTTCTGTAATGAGATGCATAGATCTGTCCTCTGCCCCTTGCAAAGGTCCAAAAATGGATGTGATGTGGACTCCTGCATCCCTCATTCCTTCTACTGCCATTCTGAGAATTTGGGTGACATGATTAGTTTTGAGAAAGTAAATGGGATGTACTCAGTGAATGTCAAAAGTTCAGCAATTTTATAAGCGAATTCTTAATAGCAGTAGAGGGAGCACATACTGTTGTGTATTTTCCAGAGCTATATTCAGGTCATTTTTCCTAAAGACAGTAAAATCAGTTAAGTGACTGCATTTGTGCCCCTCTGATACAGCTCTGCTTCACAGTTCTGCGTAAATGTTCTCCAAAGAAAAGATTCCGCACAAAGAAATAAACCTTTCAAAATCACCTCATGATTTCAAATCTCATTTTGATAAAAGTTTGAAAGTATAAATTGAGCCTGAGATAGAGAAAAAAGAGTTTTATCTAAACAAATGGTTAAGCTTTGCCAGAGCTGTAAGGGATTCAAAACAGAGAACTGTATGAATGCCAGGAAAACATAACTGTGGGCATCTCTACCTTTTGTAACCGTGATTAGAGTAAACAGGGGGGTTTGAGAGACTGTTGCTCAAAGAAACTCACAGATCTTGCTAACAATTGCTGGCTTCTAAGAGGGAACATTGCCTTATCAACTCTTGCGGAGTTGATTTGTTTATATGATACAGTAACATAATCTCAAAAAACTTTTTTCCTTATTTATGATACCTTCATGCACCAGCATAGAAAAGCTGACAAACCAGGCAATTTCACTTTGGTCAATCTCTGACTTATTTAAATGCTGTATGCGATGTGTGGCTTTTCATTTTGCTGAGGTATAAAATGATCTTTGGTTACATCCTGTGGTATGGCACATTCATTTGCCTAGAAAGACCTTTTCTTTGTAGGGCTGCAGCAATACTAGTATGAATCTTGAGTCACATACACATGGGCATAAACTACTGCTGGAGTACAAAGATCCAACCTGCTTTTCAGATCACATATATATTACACATTGCATATATATATCATCATTCATTAACATTATATCGCCCATGTCATAAATATCACAGAATAATACAAGGATTACAGGATGAATAACAAGAAGATTGATTGAGCTTCCTTAACCAAACTGTGAAAATATAAATGATGAACAAAAATCACCTAAAATAACAAATCAATTTCTAAATAGGTGAAGGAAGAAAAAAAAAAAAAAAGAGAGAAAAAAAGAACCATGCTATAAACCAAGCAATACATTCTGTCATCCTGACCTACTGAAAAAATACCCCAATATAAACTCTTCTATATTTAGAATTCAAGAACCATTTGTTATAATTCTGGGATTCGTACTGATGAGAGTTGTGGAAATGCCCTCAGGTGACAAGATAATAAACAAGATTTGAGCTAAAACTGGAAAATTACATTTAACATCAATCTAAATATCTAAAAAGTAGACAAAACAAAGTATGCAAATGTTTTTATGGACATAAATAATGCATAATAAATTTAGAGTTATATTAAGCAGTACTTTCTCAATGTTATCTAAACTGTATGCGCTAAGATCTGATTTATACATTCACATTGAATGTATGAGTATGTGTAAGAATATAAGGAATTGCTTACCCATTAATTTCAAAATCTGACCTAGCTCATCTACAATTCAACTAAAAAAAATCTACAGTATGCAGTATTCAATGAGAAACAAGACCAAACTGACCAGCTTTTTCTTATTCTAAATGTAATAAGTAGTTTAAATGCATGTATTTTGTGAATACAGCAAGCAATGGAAAGAACAGTAAAAAAGTTCATCAGTTTTGATAACAAAAGGTAGGAATAGATATAAGGGTTGCTTTAAGGCCACTGTGTCTTGCAAATATTCTTTGAAAGCTGCAACCTCTTGTTTATTCCAAAGCACTGCTTTTGTGCAGTGTTGGCACTCAGATGCATTTATGCAATAAGCCCAAAGATGGAGTGAGAGAGTCTTTTATAACACTTTAATAACTCAGTAGGAAAACTAACTTAAATGAAGAAACCTCTGAGCAGAATTCTGTTAATAATGAATCATGTGCACCAGAAGCTGAATTATATTTATTTTAAATAAATACATAAATTCATCTGGGAGATGTCTCACTCAAAGTAGTTGGGTAGAGCCCACAAACCTACATGAAAAGGAAAGATTTGTCAGCTGTCTTCCATGAGAGAAATCAAGGTGAAGGCCAAGTCTACAAAGTTTCTCTCATCGCTTGGGTGCACGCGGAGTCTTCTGGGGGGGAGGTGGAGGAGGGAGCATTGACAGTAGCAACTACCACAACAGGAATCTACTGGACCCCACATGAGAGGAACACATTACCTTCTAGCAAACACGATTAATTATCCTGCTTGACCTGTCTTTGAATTCTGAGACAGCTGAATTTATGTGAAACTAGTTAAGGAGAGCACACAGTAGTTCAGCAAGCAAAACGAAATACTTTCTGGCACAGATGCACTGTTGTGTCCTGGGGCACATGGAGCAGCTGAGTTCCAGTTGGAAAAGGATATGCTCTATAGACCTAACTTTAAAATTTCAGCAAGCAAGTGCATTGTTAAACTCCAGTTACTTGTATTAGGCCTTATGCATAAAAAAGCCCTAGTGCTGAGCCCATTACTAACTCAGATACCAAAAATCTCTGAGATACAGTCTGTCCTCTCCCAAAACACTAGAAATTTTACAGGCTTTACAGTAACTCTTATCCCAACAGAAACTGTAGTTATCAATTTATCATGTGTTGTCATTGTTATTCCTTTCTACTAGTAAGACTCACCCAGATAACTGTTTCTGTCTCAGAGTGTATTTGCTGCATGCTTTAGCAAGGCAGCCATAGAAAATGAAACCACTAACAACACCCACATCCCAGTATCTGGTATAATATGTCGAGATGAAACTTTACCTTCCTGGGGCATCTCCCTTTTCATCAAACCAAACTTCTTCTCCAGAAACACCAATGAATGTGGACTTGAGGAGAAACTCCAAGAGTTTGCTGCCATCAATTGGCTTCATAGCATCACACAGCCCAACATGTCCTGGGCAAAGGGAATGATGCATATTTTGGAGTCCATGAGCCATAGCATATATAGCATTGATGACGAATCCCATTTTACTGTCCTGAACATAGTTTTCTTCTAGGCTTTCATTACCTAAAATAGGAAAAATAAAAATATTATTATAAACATGAAAACAATGTGAAAATGAGAAAAAGTGGTAAGAGATTAAAAGGCTTTTCTTAAAAGCTTTAGAAGTATAAACAAAATGTAAGAAGGGGATTAAATTCACATATATATATTTGTCAGAAATCTTTAAATCGTAGAAAGTGAAATGAAATGGCTTTAGAGAAAACCACAGCTTAACAAAATTGTCAGCCTTAATTTGCTTTTTTTTAAGAATTATCATTTTTCATTCCACAATGTTACTTATGCTAAAAAGGGTTAAACAGCTCAGCATCAGAAGGATGCAACTTGCTTAAAAGTTTGATTTTTCGTCAGACTTGAAGGTTGTTTTTTTTTTAAATCTCTTAGTTTTGAGGGCCAATATAGCATAGTATAGTATAGTATTTTCCTTCCAGTGGAAAAAGCAAACAATGTAAGCCAGCACCACTTCTCAAGTTATCAGAACTATTTATGTTAGCTAGTAGTAGAGAAGCCAATTGGTGTTTGCTACAGAAAGTCTAAGGAAGTTTTGTAACGCTAAAAGGCATTTTATGTAACTGCAGCTTAGAAGATCCAGCATGAGCAGACATACAAGTCTCTGTCCACTGACCAGAAACAATGCGGCAGTGAAGGCTTTCCTCTTGTGTAGGTTTTAGTTCTGACCTGCTGACGCTCAGGCCCTTCCGGAGGGTGCCATTTGTGGCTGCATCTGAAGCCAGAACCCGTGGGGATCAGGCTGTCCCCTATTTCCTGTCACAAGCTGCTGGATGCTGCCAGTGCTAACCCTGAGTCACAGAGGCCTAAACCACAGGGGTCCTGAGGGCTGGGGGAACAAGAAACCTCTCTGTTTTGTTTCCCTTCCCCTGAGTCATTCTTTCTCAATATGCTCCAAGTTGCAAGATGCTGCTATCTGTGGGCCTCCCACGTTACTTGGTGTTAACAGGCGTTTGCAATCCACTCTCTGGTACTTAGACACAGTAACACCTTGTCTGCGCTAGGGAAGTAGGATGTGTGAGAGACAAGGTGTTAACTGACACTTCTCAAACCTAGGTTGGGGAAGGTAGCTGTCATTCTAATACAAAGAAATGAGGAAAATCTACAAGTTCGCAGAAACTTTCAAGTTAAAAAACAGCTGCTCCTAATGAAGATATTGTATGTCTTTCAAGCCAGATAAGGAAGACACCCTTACGTTCATCCTTGGGAAAAACTGATCTGGAAGGACTTCTCAGCTTCTTTGCTTTTATCCGCTGATTAGTCCCGTAGGACTAACACGTGAATTTACCACTCCTGCCTTCTTATAGACAGAGAATGAATATGGTCTCCATCCTGATGGGACAGAGATGTGGAAAGATCCTGAGCTCAGCATTACAGTTCTCTTTGTCATGAAGCCTGTCAGTAGCAAATAGCTGAAGAGCTGACTGATAGGTCATGGCACTCACTTGTCTTTTACCCAAGAGTTTATTTCAGTTGCCTCCCTAATTTCTCAATTATTTTTAAAATGTATAGAAACATGCACATCAGTGACCTTTGCAGGAAATAATGACAGTATCCATATACTTTTCCTGAGACAAATGTTCAGATGGCTGCCAGAAGTAGAAACCTAAATGTAGCAGAACTTACCAATGTTTTGAAATGAGACTATTTTCTTCAAGTATGTGTTAACACAGCAAAGTATAGATTTGGTTTCTCATATTTCAATATAATATACATACCTCCAAAGGGAATAAACATTTGATGGTGGATTTGCTTTTGAACAATTAGATGTGTGCATCTTGTTTGCTTTGAGGCTTGAAACACATAGTGTCCCACTGCAGAGATGACTGCTTTTCTGCACTTACAGAAATAGTCATACTCGAGTGAGGAGTAACATGCAAAGCCTAATCTGGTAATGAGTTGTCCACATATCAGTAATATGTGTAAATAAGAGATTTTACAGTAATTTTTCCATGAGAAATCGTGCTTTACCTAAACCTGCTTCCAGCTGGCAAAATCAAATTTATTTCATTTTCACCATCACAAGTTATTGATATACCTATGTATTTGAGCTTGTAAAAATTCACTTATGGGAATCAGTAGGAACTGATCTTTCTGAACAAGGGAGATAATGTAATTATGTTAAGCCAAAATAAAAACAGAGGCAATCAATGTTCAATTCGGTTCTCATAGAATAGCTGTTTAATAAATGCAAGAACTATATTTTGTTTGATGCAGGGCTTCTCTGTAAAGCTGTTATTTTTTCCTTAAAATCTTTGAAAAGTAACAGAGAACAATAGAACTCTGGACTGAGAAATTTGTACTTTTCTTTCTCCTCTCATCCTCTGGAAAAAAAAAGATCATTGATCTACAAAAGTACTCTGAACACTAGGGTAAATTAACATTTAAAACAGAAAAGTACTTTATTATCTTTATTTATTTATTTATTTATTTTGGGGGGAGACCTTAGTTTTCATTAAGAAAAGAAAAAGTGTAAGCTATGTGAGTACTGGATTAATTGAAGTCACTCAAATTAGGTCATTAACTTTTTGAATGACATTGAAGAATTCAGGTCTCCTACATTTCAGGCTTATTTTTGTATTGGATGCAGTGCAAATCTTCCCTTAGTCATTTCCTTTTAACAGTTCCTCAAAGCTTTGGGTCATTTTATTTTATTTTATTTTATTTTATTTTATTTTATTTTATTTTATTTTATTTTATTTACTTTTTGTCAGTCATCCTATCAAAGATGAAAAAGAGAGATAAAATATGTAAAAATAAAAATAATTTTTCACAACAACACACTTTGGCTGTACACAATAGAAAAATGCTCCCAACACTGCTAGAAATAATAGCCTTAGAAGCTGCAGAAGGACAGAACAAATTTCATGAAGCGATGCCTTTCCTTTCACTATAATGTGCCTCAAATGTAACTAATGTTGTCTTCAGGCAGGGACTTAGAAGGAGCTGAATGTAAAGCAACAATTAATATCTAGTGCCTTTGCTGCGAATTAAGTATAGGGCAATCAGCATTCTCCAGAGCAGAGACAGTACTCATACAAATCTCACCCAATCAACTGAAATTAAGAAAAACAACGCTGTCAGAATTATAGCTAGAAATGACCTACACTTAGGGACATAAGGTAAAGGTAGAAAAACCTATGCTGATGTTCTCAAGAAGAGATTAAGCAGAAAGGGCTTCTTGTTTGCAGTTCTCAGAAAGGTTAGGGCAGGAAGGAATGTGGAATGGAAAGAAATGTAGAAACATTTTGGTTGAAGAATCAGATCAATAGCTAGCCAGTTGGTAAATTTTGAACAAACACACACATTTGATAAAGAACACAGTCTGTTCATAGATGACTCTTGATTAGAATAAAAGCCAAAATCTGTTGAATAAAATTATTATAAATGATAATTTCTGAATTAGGCAGATATTTTTTCCTTTTTTTTTTTTTTTTTTTCCCCCAGACCTCCAAACAAACTGAACATTTAATGTCACATAAAAAGTGATTTTTTGCATTGGTTGCATTTGACCTATTATGAAAATAATCATCTTTTCTGACAGTTCTGAAAAAGGGCTGAAGGTCTTAGAAATAATATACACTCCTTTCCTTAATTGTAGTGGTTGGTACAAGGATTGAAATGCTTTCTGAGTATGCAATATGAGATTTTAGCTTTGTTGCCAGCAGCATGGTGATGGGCTACATCCAGTAAAGTGCTCATTTAGACAAAGAAATTGTTGTGGAAGAATAATCAGGGCTAAATTTCTCAGGAATGCTGAAAAAAGGAAAATTGCCATTCTTGGTCTGTGTGCCCAATGGCCTGGCACAAAGCCATGCCAAAGAGAGATGAGTGTTCCCCCCAAGAGGATGCCAGGGGACAGAGCACAGGTTATACTACGAACTAGTAGAGTAGCACCCTGGCTTGCAACAAAATTTCCCTTCTTATTGAAGAAGCCAGGAACGCAGATTTCCTGTCCTCTTAGTTTCAATGTGCACTGCCTTAAGTGACTTGGAGCAAACATGTCCATCTGGCTCTGTACAAATTTGTGCAGAGATATGCTAGTGATGTGACATGCCCTTGAAAAAAAAAAAAAAAAGAAAAAACAAACAAACAAACACAGAAGTCATATATCTTGCAGTGTCCCACATTACAGAAGGCCTGACAAACTTGGACCACAGCAAATTTGTGTCATAGGATCTTGCAGGGAGAAGGGCACAAAGCCAATATCTGTCCTGAACAGTTATTTCAAATCTCGGTCACTAGAAGTAGCAGCTACAGATTATTTTAGTAACTAAATGGAACATGAAAAGTGATGAACAAACTGATATCATTTTGTAAAATTTGGGATACTTGGCTCCTTGGAAATATTAGGGCACTTTTATTTGGATGCATGACCTGCTAATTATAGCTTTACCTTTAGATGTTTAGGAGAGAAAATGCAACCAATTCTACATTTCTCTTTTGTTACCAACTCCTTGAATTTTTTTTTATCTATCAGAATTATTCAACTTTAAAAACAAAAAACAAAAACCAACAAGAAAAAAAACATATTATGATGAGACAAAATAAGATTCTATTTAACAATTTTTGAAAAAGGCTTAATTTTCTAAGCTCATTTAGCATTGCAGTTTCAGGTATTTTACAAATACTGCCAGTTCTTTCATTCTTACACACTGTTTATGTTATCTAACATCTCTTATGTTATCTAACAAGAAAGATAACAACACAATTATTTAACAAATTTCACTTTAAGGCATTGCAAAATGAATACCACAGATTATAATGCCTCTAAATGCAATTAGTACAAACATGATATGTTCACAACCTGCACAATAAATGGATTGTTCTCTTCATACTCTTTTTTTAAAACCAAATGCATTCTGTTCATTAATATTATATGACAATGGAATCTGAATAAAATCCTCATCTCTTGATGACTCTTGTTGACTCCGCTGCACTCAGTACGTCCAAATGTAGTCAGAGGTAACAAGTTAGATTCATAAAAGTTCTCTATT